GGGTGCTGTGCCGGCATGTCCCCAGCACAGTGGTGCCGGTGGCCCCGGGCTGGGACAGCCCCGCGTCCATCATCCCTGCAGCGATGGCTTTTCAATCAGTTCCTCACTCCCCTTCCATATTAGGCTCCTCTCTCCTCCTTCTGTGCCGTAATTAGCACTTTTTGGCCTGAGCCATGTCCTTTAATCATATCTGGACTGCAGTCTCTCCTGCCAAGGTGAGTAATTCCCTGGGCAGAGCAGAAGCCCTGCGCATTCCTTGTGCTCTTGCCAGGTCGAGTGTTGGGAGGGATTTGGTGCCCCAGGCATGCACCGGTGCAGCGTCAGGTCTCAGGCAAGCAGCAGCACCAGAAAGAAAATGAAGGCAATTATTTCCTGTGCCCTCCTGTCCCTCCCAAGGGGGAATTACAAAGGAAACTCAGTTGTTAGTAATAAATTGCTTTGAGACCTGTGGCCGACCTGTGCAGGAGAGGAGAGCCCAACTAGGGGACAAGTATCTGTCTGGAGACGTTGTCACGGCGGGTACGTGCCCACCACAGTCACTGCGGGGCCGCGGGCCCAGGTGTCCGTGCCCGGAGCAGCGTGCCGAGCCGGGACAGTCAGTGGCTGCTCCCACAGGGACCCACTGGTGGGCTGTGGGGGTGCCCCAGCCGCCGTCCCCCCACAAGAGCCCTGGGACGGTCCCTGACCACGCACAGGGACAGCTGGTGTGCCAGCGAAGTGGGAGCTGGGGGGTTGCTCTGAGATAATCTTGCCAGTGGATGGAGAAAAACGGGGATAAAAAATGAGCAATTCTGGCACAGATGGGGAACGCGTGGAGAGGAACAGACACGCTGGCGGCTGGAGCGGGCGGTGGAGATGGGACCTTCAGGGTTGTAACAGCAGCCAGGGGATCCCGAGACAGGGCTGCGGCCCTCCCGGGCACTTAAGGGATGTCGATCATGAAATGTTTTATAGCTTATGAGGAGCTAGTAAGGCAGCCAGGACTCAGATAATGGGGGATTTTAATTACTTGGATATTGATGGACATAATAAGTGTGCAGCAAACCACAAAGGGAAACCTGTGGCTAGAGGGGAGAGTGAGATTGATCTATGCACAGCATGTTAAATAACTTAAATTGTTCGGAGCCTCCTCTAGCCCCGGTTCCAGGAGCAGAGCCAAGTATGATAAATAAGGTCGGGGTTGGGAAGTGTCTAGAATCCAAATGTTTGTGTTCTTGTTCGATTTCAAATATTCACGAGAACAAAAGCGGTAGCAGGAGTCACAGCAAAGCGCTTGGTGGAGCCAGCTCAGGGGCTGTGGGACGCCCCGGGGAGCGCCGAGAGGCATCTCAGGAACGTTCGCACAGTGGTGGAAGGTGACCTGGGTGAGACCCGGGCGAGGAGAGGAGGGAACCAGAGGCTAAAGCAATCGAGGAGCAGGATGGAAAGTCTGAGCAAGCAGCGTGGGTGGGATGGCGGCCGCCGGGCTGGGCACGGCCCAGGGAGCGACAGCGGGGCGCGGGCAGGCTGGGGACCGCGCCGGGAGGGGACAGCAGCGGCGAGCGCTGTGGGGTGCTGGGCGCTGCCGGGGCTGCAGCGAGGGGCCCTGCCCTGGGAGATGACGTGAGCTACAGCCCAGAGCTGGGACACCCGTGCACCAGTGTCCCCCGCGCCACCCTCCCAGGGCCAGGGAAGATTTTGTCTGCGGGGGGCAGCCCCGGGACCCTGCAGACCCTCCTGCTGTCTGCCCTTGCCCAGGGGAGGCGGCGAGGCTGGGTCAGGGAGCCAGGGGCTGTTCCCTGGGCATGCCCCGGGGTGGGGTGGTGGGGACCCAACAGACCTCGCTGCAGGGCAACGCTTACGCCTCTGCCCCTGCTCGTGCACCACACGCGGGGCTTTAGGGAAGGGAAGCGTCGTCCCCCGGCTGGGTGGGAAGGGATTTGGGGATGAGGTGAGAGAGAGGCGCTGGGTGCCTGGGCTGCCGAGGAACAGGATGCAGCTCTTGGACAGATTTTTGTGTTGATGCCCAGCAGAGTTGTCTGGGGCTCTGGTCAGGTTTGGTGGCATCAAAGGTATCCCCAGGAGGGTCTCCTCCTGCCCCCCCATCCCCCAGGTGCGCACCAGGCTTCCTTCTCCATCACATGGGTCAGACAATCAGACTGTGGGAGAAAATGTCCACTTAATAAACGGAGTAACGAGGCATCAGGAAGGTGGACACCCCCCGCACGGGGCTGGGAGTGCCCTGCCAGGTGGCTCCCGAGCTGCAGGTTGGCAGGTTGCATCAGCGCTGCAGGGGCAGGGCCACTGTTTGCCGTGATAAGGGAGTTTTCTGTCTGGGTGGTGCTAATGTGGGTCTGCAGCTGCTGGTCTGGTTGTGGCCGAGGGCCACGACATCCCCCTTGGTTTTGCATCAGCTCCCCAGCTGGCATCCGTCCTGGCTGACCCAGTGGATGCTGCTGGGCTCAGGGGTTGGTACAAAATCCCGCGTGGAGCCTGGGCAGAAATGAGCTTAACTCTGCCCGTCCCACTGCAGGCAGCAGCGCCGGGTGCCTCGGGCATCCCACGGGCTCTGGTTGTCCCAGGCAGGGTCGGGGCTGGGGCTGGGGCTGGGCACAGCCCTTCCCAAACTCCCTTTGCTCTTCGCATCCCCCTCAGCGGCAGAAGGACCGAGCTGCCCTGTGTGTCCCGGGCTGCCCCTGCGCTGAAACGAGCCCTTCAGGGCCGAGCTCAGGCTGCGGGCAGCGCCAAACTAATGCTGAGCACCGGGTTATTCTCAAACGCCTTGTGGTGTTTTGAGGCGCAGGCATAAATTATTTAAATGCAACGTGCTGCCAGTCGTAATGCACCCGAGACCTTCGACGGCTGCGTCTTGTGATCAGTATTAGACAGCAGTGGTTTGGAAGCAGAGAAAGCAAAGCTCTCGTGAAGCAGCCGAGCCGGCCCGGCGGCAGAGGAGGCGGCAGGGCCTGCGCCCCGCTGCGCCTCGCCGCCTGGCTGCTGTGAGCGCCCAGGATCTGTCCAGGGGCTGCACCCGCCGGCTGCGTGTGCTGCCGCTGGATGCGTCCACAGAGCATCTGGTGAACTCAAACGTGCCAGGCCCCTGCTTTGTGGTTTCCCAACCTGGGAGCGCCGTGGCCTGACTCTTTCTGTGCAGCTTTTGGGCACCTTCCTCATCCCCCAGAAGCAGAGTGTGGAAGGTGCAGGGTTCCCCCTCCCTCTCCCCCAGTTTCCCAGGTCCCTTTTCTCTTCCAAGGCAGCACGAATCCACCGCCGTCCCAGTGCGGCGCAGGGGTGGGTGTGCGGGGAAGGACCCTGGGCAGGAACAACCCCCCCCGGGGCCCATTGCCCCTTTCCTGGCCCCGGTATCGCTGCTGCCGGTGTGGATTTGGGCATTTCGCAGCGCGGGTGGAGTCCACATGTCCCCCCCCCCGCCAGCCTGCACCAGCTCCCTGCAAGTCCTGACTCCATTTTTCATTTAGCTGGAGTGAATTTTTTTTTGCCCCCTCTAAGTTTGCTGTTTCCCTGAAATGGTCTGAAATGTAATAGACCAAGGCAATCATCAGAATGAAATATTTCCTACATAAAATATGCAGCAGCTCTTCAGAAATGAAGATCAAGCGGAATGAGGGCTGCCAGACAAAGATTTAAAGATGCTGACATGTTCCCATAGGTTGTTTACTGAAGATATCTTCTCCTAAGCCCCAGTTTTAAGACTGCCTTCCAAAAGAGGGCACAAAATAAAATTTAGCAAGGAGCTTTAATAATTCAAGCTGCCGTGTGCCGAGCTTTTTGTTGCCCTTATGGGAACAAAGCCTCATTTCAAAGGACCTTGACTTTGTTCCGATAGTGCAGGAGAAGTGGCACTGCCAGAGCTATTTTTGCACCAAGGCACTGATTGGGTGTGAAACCTGTCTCTGGTGGCCCTGCCAGCAAAACCTGGGCAGGCAAAACACGCAGGCATATGGCCCGACTCCCTAAGGACGCCAATTCCAAGGAATTTGGGGGGTGATCTCTCACCGTAAAAGGGCATCTTGAGCATCTGGCTTTACAAAAAAAGCTTCAGCGCGGCTCCTGGCACAAAGATCTTCCCCCCCCTGCCCCCAGCACGGTGGAGCCCAGTCCCACGCCCTCGGGGGGTGCGGGGGGGCAGCGGGAGCCGAGCTGAGGGCCCGCTGCTGCTCCCGCGTGTCTGTGTCGCAGGAGCCGGACCCGCGGGGCCTGGCCTGAGCCTGGCGTCGGCCGCTGCGGGCCTGGGGGGGCCGTGGCTTTGGCCGAGGTGTTTCGCCCTCGCTGGCCCCTCGAGGAAACCGTATGTCCCCGCACCCCCTGCCACCGCACGGTGCTGCTCATCGAGGCCCATGAAGGGAAGCCTGTGCTGGCCCAAATGTTGCAGCTGTGCCCCCGTCGCCTCCCGAGCCCTTAATCAATCAGGAGCTGCCGTGAAGTTGGCGATGGAGGGTGAAACCTTGCGCCTGAGTGCGGCACCTCCAGAACACCAGCTCAACACCCCGCGCCTTCCCCGCACACTCTGCTCGCTTCTCTCCCCACTTTCCTCTCCCCGCTGAGTTTGAGCGACTTTGGCGTCGTTCCGGTGACTGGAGAGCTGGGGGGTGTCAGCAGCGTCCCCCGTGAGCCCGGGTGGTCCCGCTGCAGCGGCAGCGCCGTGAGATCTCGGAGCAGGGATCCCAGCAGACAAAAGTGTCTCACAGAAACGAGTAATTGTGAAAGACCAGGCGAGGCTCTGGCTTTCAGACTGGACTCCCGGTCGTTCCCAGCCCCGGTATCACAGCATCGGGCTGGCAGGTTCGATGAGCTGATGCTGTCGGGGACCCACGAGGGACCGAGAGCTGCGGGCATGGAGCAGACGCGCGTCGGGGCGGCAGAGTGAGGGACTGGGGGGTGTGGGGGGAGAGGAGCCATGTCGGGCTGCCAAAGGCTGTGGGGGGCAGCGGGAAGCCCCATATTGCGACTCTCTGCGCCCCGCAGCCCCCAACACTCACCGCCGCCCTCCCAGATCCCGGCCCCGGTTTGATTTTACCTGCCCCCCCCGCCCCGTTCCTCTGGTGCTCGGGAGCCCGTCTGCGGCGGGACCAAAGGCAGGTTTCTGCCGCCACCTCGCGATGGAGAAGGGGCATGTCGCGATGGGCCGCGGCTTCGCGACCGACACAGGGCCCGGCAGCGCGGCTGGCTGGGGGAATCGCTGCTTTATTAGGCCCTGTAACCCCCGCCGGGGGGGGTCGGGAGCGAGCCTGGGGGGTCCGGCAAGCAGCTCTCGGGAGGACACGGCTCTTCCTGGCGCCTTGAGAGGGTGCTGAGCCCATCCCGGAGCCGGGGGAGGGTGCTGAGCCCATCCCGGAGTCGGGGGAGGGTGCTGAGCCCATCCCAGAGCCGGGGGAGGGTGCTGAGCCCATCCCGGAGCTGCACGCAGCCTTTTGGGGGTGACCAGCAGCACCCTTCTCCTCCCTCGACAACCGCGTTCCTGTGTCCCAGGGGCGCGCGAGCGGGACGGGGGCTGCCAGAGGGGGTTTCGGCCGCTGCCAACACACACGGGAGACGTTGGGCCTCCTGCGGCCCTCTGAGCGGTGCCCTGCAAGCCCTGAGGGCAGGTCAGGCGCTGATCACCCCCTCCCTCGTGGTGTCCCTGACGCTCTTTAGGAAGCTGAAGATGTGGGACCCGCCGGTCCCTTTGGTCTCCAGCGCGGACGGGGGCTTCCCCGCGGCGGGGCCGTCGCCCGGCTCTGCCCGCCCGGCCTTGGCTTTGGCCGCCGCCACGGCGATGTACTTGGTGACGATGGTGATGTGGTAGGACCTGAAGTCTGCCAGGGCGCAGACGCAGCGGTTGAAAGCGGCGCGCAGCCGAGCGTCCCCCGAGGAGAGCACGTGCTGCCTCAGCGGCGGGGCGCGGCGGATCTCCTCCACGAAGGCTCTGTGCGGCGGCGGCATGTACTGCCTCATCCTGCGCAGGAAGGCGCCTGCGAAACACCGGCAAGGGGGGAAAATCAGCTGTGGGTGAGGGGGTCTGACACCCCGACACACAAAGAGCGGCCGGGCTGGAGCGCTGGTCTGCGGGGACCAGGAGTTGGCTGGTGCCCGCGCAGCCTCTGCCCTGCCCTCGCCGTTCTGCCTCGGTGCCTCCAGTTCATTGAGAAAGAAAACCCCGATTAGGTCGCTGCTGCATTGGGGTTGGTCTAAAGGCAGGTTTTAGCCCTTACTCAGCCTTTTGGCTTTGAGTTGGTTGTTGGGGTTTATTTTGCGATTAGAGTGGTTTTGCTAATTCCTGATAAATATATTCTGGTGTGGGACAGACTTTGTGTACTGGCAGGACGCTGACGGGCTCAGCTCCCCCCGCTCCGTGCCCATCCGCAACCTCAGGCAAAAAGTTGACACGCAAAAAGCAAAGTCTGTCCCCTCTGGGAATTTGTAGAGGTGAGGAAGTTCCTGCCAGAGCCTCGTTTACAGGCTTCCTCCCTAACGAGGTGGCAGAGCCTCGTCCCAGCCGGGCCCCACGAGGGCGAGAGGGGCGAGTGTCCTCTCTGCTTCGTTTTTCCCCCCCCCCTTACTTGCTTGGGAACAGGGACCGTGTGTGACTCACTGCTCTCCTCGCTGTGGCGAATCCCCAGGAGCTCATCGAAGGCGTGAAGGACGGTGCTCTGGGCCGCGCTCCCTCCCGAGTAGGCCAGGGGCTCATCGGACACCCCCTCGTAGACCAGACCCCCCGGCATGGCGGGGTTGTCCTTCCAGCTGCACAGGGAGACAGAGCAGTCAGGCTGGTATCGGGGGGCTGCAAGAAGGGGCCTGGGCTGGCATGACTGAGCAAAACCTCCCCGACCCTGCCCGCGGACCTCCTCCTCCTCCTCGCTCAGTGTCCTCAAACACGAGAGCAGCTCAGCAGACACCCCGCCGAGGTGCGTCACAAGGCCGTGGGTGCAGGGAGAGACCCTTAACTCTCCTTCGCCAGGGATCGCTGGGGCGCTCCGTGCAGTGGGGAGCACCCGTGGGGTGGCCCCATCTCCCGCTAGGGCCCTGGCCCCGGCAGCTGCCCCGTGGGTTTGGCAGATGCCAAGCTGCTCTGGGGCACTTCTCTGGGCAATAAGGGCAATAACTCCGTGACACACCGGAGTTCCTTAGGGGAGGCCGGGTTGCCGCGGCGGCAGGTGGAGTCGCCCAAATGCTCTTTCAAGCCCTTGAAGTTTGCACTTTGGGTTTTTCCCTGTTCTCGCTACTCTTGATGCCTTTAAAGAGAGCGCAGGACAGCCTGCCTTTATTTATTTCAGCAGAGCACGAGCCTATAATGTGATTTCCTCCCTCTCATAAAGCTGCTCGTCCTCGGCGAGCCCGGGAACCGGGCAGTGTCGGTGCCCCCCCCGTACACCATTAACTCACAGCCCCTGTCATCCGGCTTTATGTGCCTGTTGTGCAAAAATGGATAAATCCTCCCTCACAAATGGAAAGAGGAGTTATGATTTCGGAGAGATAATGTGCCTGGCACGAAAACATCTCTTGACCTTCTGAAGAATGCACCGCTTCATGAAGCTTTTGGTGCTGGCTGCTAAGGCTGTTTGAATGTTGGAGGAGATTTTGCACAAAATGCAGAGAAAATAGAATCATTATCAAATACCATAATATTTTTAGCTCTCCCAGGGATGTATTTATAGTAACCTTTACTAGTGGGAAGTTCTTATAAGCAGAAGGGAATTTAAAAGGCATGTTTTTCCAGGCTGATGACCATCAAGACAAGGTCAGCTTGGATAAAAAATGAGAGAAACCTAATCAGGATGCATGGAGCCTTTTGACTCAGGAATGCTGAGATATGCTGAGGAGAAATAAAAATAGAACCCCCTGAGAAGCCCGGGAGCAGAGCAGTGGGGATGCTCGGAGCCCCGCAGGGAAGAGGAGGGACAGCAAACCCACAACGCCGGGCTCTCCTGCCGAGATTCTGCTTTGCCTGTGTCGGTATTTGGGTGGGATTGGGGTTTTTAAGTAATGGGATTGTAATGGGGTAACAGCAAGAGGCTTGTTATAGATGTTTCCTTAACATGCAGAGGGAAGAGACCCCACTCGGGTTTGTAGCTTTTTGTGTACAGCATGCGAAGTAAAGAGGAATTAGTCTTCTGTCAAAACCGCTCGGGCCGAGAGCAGGAATGATTCATTTCTGCACAACTGCGGCTCTTGTGGTGCAGAGAGCGCGCGGGGCTGAGCTGGAGCGCGGGACGGAGACACAGACCCCAGCCCTTGTCCTCTGGCTCCGCACGGGCGGATCAAGCACCTGGGAACTCCCTCGGGAGAGGGACAGCACCGTGTCACCCGTGGGGGCCCCGGACACGGCGCCGGTTCCCACCCTGAGCTGCCCCGTCCCAGCGCATCCCCTGCTGCCCTCGGCCCCCAGAGCTGCTGACGCGGTGGCTTTGGAGGGAAACGCGCCGCACTTACCCAGAGAGAAAGATCCGGATCACAGCGTAAAATACTGCTGGATCCACAAAGTCTAGGAGGAAATCAGACCGTAGGTGTTACCTCGGGCAAAAGGCAGTTAGTGCCCTCCACCCCGGCGCTCCCCGTGGGGCAGCGCTCCCCCCGCAGCCAAACTGACCCAACCCGAGCTCCAGGAAGGACCCGGCCGGAGGGGCCGGTGCACTGCAGGGGGCTGGTGACCTGTCCCTGCGGGGGGCTTCCCCCAGCCGGGCTCCTCGGGCACAGCATCGCAGCTCAGAGCTGCTCAGCCCAACAACCCCCCACGCGTTACCCCAGGCCCGTTTGTGTGCTCAGACACCAGGTACCATCCCGGGAGCACTGAGCTCCCCTCAATTTCTCCCACCTCCTCCCGCTCCAGCCCTCCCGAGATGCTTTACAGGCCAAGTGTGTGCGTGTTTATGCTAATGGAATCTGATGATCTCGAGCGTGCCCAGCGGCATGAGGGCACAAGCTGCCTCCAGCTGAAGGCTGCTGGTACCATGCATCCGGGCCAACGCCTTGGTCATGTCCCCGATGGCCTCCGCCAGCTCCTGCAGGGCCTTGTGCAGCGTCTCGTGGTCGAGCTGCAGGATGGCATGAATGGCCTGAACAATGGCCTGTGAGAGGAGAGGAGGAGGAGGAGGAGGAGGAGGAAGAGGAAGAGGATGAAGGGTTGCAGAGGCAGGGATGTCTGCGTACAGCAGCTCTGAACACCCGCTGCCACTGACGCCAGCTCTGCCCCTTCCCCCAGCCCCTGAGCAAGCGTGTGGGGGTCGGGTACCCCCGGGGGTGCCTGAGGGCACTTTCTGGGTGAGCAAAGAGCCACAGGGCACGGCAGCGCCCTCCTACCTTAATCCCAGGCACAGCTGCCTTCTCAACCAGGAGGGTGACAAGGATGAAGCCTCGCAGGCTCTCTGCCCCCGGCAGCGAGATGATGGTGTCCAGGTTCCTGTGGAGTGGCCACACGGGGGTCACAAGGGCTCTCGCTCAGGGTTTCCCCACGCAGCCCAGGGCCCGGTGAGCCGTTGGAGCAAAACCCTCCCGGCTGCAAGAGCCTCTTCTCTGCACCCCCGGTGGAGATGAGCTGGCACAGAGCAAAAGGGGTGAGGGGCTGCGTGGGCCTGAGGGATCTGCGACCCTCCCCACACACTCACTGGATAAAAGCCTGGCCCATGAGAGCCGGGCTCTGTGTGGACTAGAGCAGCCCACGGTTCAGCCACGGTCACGCTTTGCTGTTGTTGCAGTGGCATTTGCGTGCCAAAGACTGAGCTGGTTTTGTTGTGCTCCTACATCAGGAGACAGGTTCAACCTAAGCAGAGCCCTGCAGTGTTGCAGTGCCAAGCCAATTCAAACAAAACTACTACTGTAAGAAAATAAATAAGCATCTTAAATACTTACTCGATTTCCAGAGACCTGAAGGCATTCCAGTTATTGCCAGCAAACGCACAAAAAAAGGAGAGAGAAAGAGAGACGTTATAGGTTGTCTCAGCAAGGGGCTGTGCTGGGGGGGGGTGGATGAGCTCACGGCCCGAGGGCAGCCGGTTCCCCGCGGGCGCCTGTGTCTGCACCCGTGACAGCCCCCCAGGTACGGTGGGTTTCGGTGGGTTTTGGCAGAACAGGAGCGGTTTGGGGACCGTTTGTCTCCGTTGTGCTGGACGGGACCTGCTGAGGCTCATCGCTGTTGCCCTGACCGTGGGAAGAGCCACGCTGGGCCCAGCTGCGATCGCCCGTTTACCCGTCGGGGTCCTTCCTCCTCCAGTTGGCCAACACAAAGTCCGCGTGGCAGAGGATGGGGGGAAGCCCGAGGGCCTGTGAGACCTCCCAGAAGGGGACAGCGAGATTTTGGGGCAGGACCTGAGGGGCACAAAGCAGGAGAAGATGGGGACACTGTCAGGCTGGTGAACGGTGCCTGTCTATGGGGCAGGAGGGGTCACGCTCCTGCTGCTGCCTCAGGAAAGAGGCTGCTCCCGCGGGATGAGCCCCAGGGGAGCGGCACCAGCCCCTGGAGCCCACGTGAAGCAGCTGCAGGTTGCTTTTACCTTCACGGTGCCCTCCTCACCCTCCTGCCAGAGGTAGCCCATGGTGATGAAGCTGAGCACCAGGTGCGCCAAGTGCAGCTCCTCGCGCCCTCGGAGGTGCCGGGCGCTCAGCTGCGGCATCTGCCAGGGAGAGCCTCGGGAGCGAGGGGCACGGCAGGCGATGCCGAGGGCCCCCGCAGCAGGGGCTGCCCCAGCAGCAGGGGGACACCCTCCTCCTGCCTCTCCTCGCCCTCGCCCCGCAGCCCTCCGTTCCCTCCCACACCTGCAGGATTTCCTACAGTAAACCATGGGATTTTACTCCAAAAGGTGAGAGCAGCTGATCCCTGTGTGCCGGGGGGTCCGGCAGGGCCAGGGGGCTCGTGGAGTCCTGGGGTCCTCGGTGTGGAGCGTGGCCGGGACGAGCTGTGGCTCTTTTGACACCGAGGGTGGGTCCACGCTGCCCTCGCTGTGC